GGGAAAGACCGGCACCGGGTGTCACCGCATGGATGGACACCGGTACCGGAGAAGGGGGGGGCACCGGTACCGGAGAAAGGGGGATGAGCACGACAGGGGCGAGCACCGCTACCACGGCGGGGGGGGAGGGGTGTTACCGGCACCGGAGATGGAGGGAGCAGACAGGGCCGAGCGCCGGTACCGGAGGGAGGGAGGGTACCGGGGCGGGAGGAGGCACCGGCCCCGGGGAGTGTGAATGTGGTAACGGGGAAAAGGGTGCTCCGGTGCCGGAGGGGAGATGTGTGGAGGCTGCCGGGCCGCCCCGCCGTACCTTCTTCTTCTCCAGCCCGCCCATGGCTGCTCCGCCGCCGCCGCCGCCGCTGCCCCCGTGCCCCCGGCGCGCCGCAGGACCCCGGCCTGCCCGGGACCTGCCTGCGCCCGGGGTCCGCGATCTGCGCCCACCGGAGCCGCCCCACGCTGGTCATGGAAGCAGCGTGAGCAGCGTGGGCAGCGCGAACAGAGCGGGCAGGGTGGGAAAAGCGGGCAGGACGGGCAGGACGCGGGGCAGGTCCGGGTCAGGCGCGCCGCGGACAGCCCGCTCGGCCCAGGCAGGAGGGAGAAGGGGTCCTGCGGCGAAGGGCACGCTGGGATATAGCGGGGCGGCGCGGAGCACGCTGGGATATATCGAGGCACTGGGATGTAGCGAGGCACCGGGCCTGGGGCGGCCCTGGGGGTCCTGGCCACCCGCGGGCACAGCGGAGCTGGGCAGGTCCCTGCCCGGGCCCTGGGGGTTCTCCCCAAGCTGAGAGCAGCCCCTGGGACCGGGGGCTCCGTCCTGCCTCCCCGGCCCCAGGGTACCGGCCCCGGGGCTCCCTGTTCTGTAAGGGCCGTCGGTGGGGCGAGTGCGGGGGGTCCACGGGGGGAAGGCCCGGCTGCCTCGGCCTCCCTCAGCCCGAGCTCCGGCAGCTCCTGGCTGCCCCAGGCCCCATCCTTTCTCCCCCAGACTTTCCCCCCCTTCCTCGGAGGCAGCTGGACCCCGTATCCCCGCATGGCGAGTCTCCGGGGACCGGGGCATCTCCTGGGGGCCTGACGGATGCCCACGACAGGGGTTTGTCCATCCCAACCTGCCGGGGACCCCAGTCCCCGGGGCGCCAGCGAGCCTTCACGGGTGTCTGGGGGTCTCATCCCTGAGCTGGGATGGGTGAGGTGTCTCCGGGAGGGTTTCGTGGTCCTTGGGTTCCCAGCCTGATCCCATGGGTGGAATGTGAGTTTGTCTCGATGCCGTGCGGGCCCACGGTCAGCTTGGAGCTGAGCCGTGGTGCTGTTCCCCAGCAGGCAGAGACCCAAGCCCCAGCAGTGCCCGGAGACCCCCCCCACCTCCCCTTGGCTGCGGGGATTTACTTTTTGGGGTTCAGCACCCCCATACCCACCCCTCATCTGCCGAGCGGGGCTGATTAATCCTTGTTTTCAATAAAAAGCTAGTTTCTAGGTGAGCAGCGGAGTCATTGCTTTCCAAGGCTGCAGGGATGGAGGGTGCAGGATTTGGGGGGTTTTCATCCCTCTCTTGTTTTTTTTGGCTAACTTTGACTGGTGATTTTGACTCAAATGCCTGCAGTTTGGGTCTCGCTGCCCCGGCCGTGGTGCAGAGGGCAAGGAGACCTCGATGCTCACGCAGTTCATGCCAGGTCAGGGAGCTGGGAGGAAAGAGCGGCTGTGAGCACTTATCTCTGCCCCGGCGTGGGGTGGTCCCACTTCCCTTTGCTTCGCCTCCAGCCAAAGTCCTTTCCTGTTTCTGCTGACTCGGCCCCGGTGTGCGGAAACGGCCTCTTGCAATACCGTCCCATCCCCAGCGGTGTCCTGGTTCGGCTCGGCCAGGCTCTGCCGGGCTGCCAGCTGTGCCGTGCCGTGGCACCCACCGCCCCGCTCCGGCATGTGGCTGCTCCTCATCCTGCTGCAGGCTGCGGTCCTGCCTGCCCAGCTCTGTGGTGAGTACGGCAGCTGGCCACCACCCAAAGTCCCCGGACCCCCACATCCCGCCTGGGGACCCCACTGGAGCCGAGGGTCTTGCCTGACCTGGCTGTGGCGGTGGAGAGGTCCCTGAGGAGCGGGGCTGGGGGGGACGGGCACCATCCTGTACTCCAGCCCCGTGTCCTGGCCCCGGGGAGGACGCTGACCTCATGACACCCCTCCAGTGATGAGTTTTCCAGGGCTGAGGTCTCCCCAGCGCCCGCCGGGGTTAAGCCTTACTCCTGTGCCCCCTTCCCCTGCCCAAAGCCCAGAGCCAACCTGCCCTGCTCCTACACCTGCAGCCCCCCACCTCCCACAGGTCCCGCAGGGTCCCTGGGGTCAGGGGTTTGAGCTCTGCATGCTCCCACTTCATGTCATGTATCTTATTTTGTTTCTACCCCATTTTTTGGGGGGAGACATGAGGTTTTGGCACTTGAAGGAGGGCCACAAAGGGCACGGGGCTCACGGCAGGGTTGGGGGTGCTGGGTCTCCATTGCCACCGTGGCCCCACGCAGCCGGTGCCGGGGGCTGCAGATGCCATGAGGCAAGTGCTTGGGGTGGTCTTGGCCCCCTCACCCTCCGCTCCCTCTCCCCGGGGCCCTGGGGGGGTAGAAGCCCCAGGGGAGGCAGCGGCGGCGGTGCGGGCGCTGAGCGCCCGGCTGCTGGGGCTGGCGGTGGATCCGGCGCGGGACCCCGACCCCAGCGTCTACCTGGCCCTTCGCCTGGCCGGCGACCACGACCTACGCGGGGAGAAGCGGTACCTGGCGCGGCTGCAGGATGCCTTCCAGCACCGCTACGGCCGGTAGGTCCCAAGGGAGGACACTGGGTCCCCCCCGTGTACCCCTGGGGGACGTCCTCTGACCCCCACACCGCCCCAGCACTCATGCTGAGTCCCCACAGGAGCCTGCAGGCAGCTCTTCGGCCCCACGCTGCACCCCACAGCCACCCCCAGCAGGATGCTGTGGCCACTGAGCACACCACGTACGTGTGTGTGTCCGTCCCACGGGGACGGTCCCCTCCACCGGTGGGGTGACGGCCTCCCCGGTGTGGTGCCGCTGGCGAGAGCTGACATGGCGGCTTGCAGGAGGGCTGAGGCGGAGTGGCCGGAGACGGGGCGGCTGGCGCTGTACCTGCTGGGGCTACGGGCCACTTGTCCCCCACTGGAGCCCGGTCCCCAGCGCTCACTGGTGACATGGCTGAAGTACTACCTGGAGGAGGACTGGGCAGGTGAGAGCATCCCCACAGGGCGACCGTGGCAAGCACCCACTCATGCATCGGCACGTCCAGCCGCGGGGCCATCGGCTCGCCCTCGTGACACCACGCCTCGTCCCCAGGATCCCGGCAGCACGGCCACCCCCTCACCAGTTACTACCAGTACAGCCTGGGCGTTCTGGCACTGTGCGTCCACCACAAACGGGTGCGGGAGGAGGTGATCCGACGGCTGCTGGCAGCCGAGCACCACGGCAGGTTTGGGCACGCCGGCGGCAGCGCCGTGGGTAAGGGTCCTCCCCGGGGACGGACGGGACGGTGGCGCCCCAGGGTGGGCGTGCAGCAGCTGGGGGTGACACA